TAAAGCCAGGGCACATCCATTTTTTTGAAGGCAGAAAACACAATGACGGAGGGAGAAGGGGAGGAGAGGGGTAGAAAACAAAAGAGAGAGAGAGAGAGGGACGCGGAAAGAAGACGGTAGGAACATTCCTTTTGGTTAATCCTGTATTTAATATTTTCATCAATACGACGTTGGGCCAATGTGTGGCCAACGTGTGCTGTTACGTTGGCCCAACGTCTTTTTGGCCAGCGGGCCAACGTTGGCTCGACAGCGACAAGTTGACGTCGGGCCAACGTTATGCGACCTTTCCCACCATATATGCCATTGCCCAACGTTTAACCAGCGTTGGCCCAACGCGATATAGCCTACCAATATCCACCGTTTATCAGCGAAAATGGCGACGTTGGCCCAACGTCGGATTGTTATCTGGGACCGGTCTTTCATAATGCCAGTGCCCCCCCCCCCCCCCCCTTATAGCTAATATACGCTATTGTTTACTTCTATTTCCCACTTAACTTGCAAAGTTAGGATATAGGCCTGCTCTGAATAATTTTGCTCATCTAGCAACATTTAGTTTAACCTTGTCTACTCTGACGTATGAATGATTCACAGGGGTATACAGATTCACTCGTCACCATGAAAATCCAGCTCAAAGTAAAGTACCAATATAATCTGAAATGATGACTAATCATGTGTGATTAACAACTCTGAATTAATTTTCAGTTCAGTTCAATTTCAGAGCGCTGCTAGTCATTTCGGCTTGTGATATTAGTTTTGGTATCGATTCCTTTCAAGTTTTATTTGATAATTATCTTCCTATAAACGTTTTATAATGATTGCCTTTCTCTCTATATAAGTACATTATATTATTTTTCCCTCTCTTCAACCTTTAATTCCCTTTTTTGTCTCGGTTTCATTTAATAATTCAGTGTATTTCGCACAGAGGGGAAAATATTATAATATACTGTACATAGTAAAAAGAAATGTTAAAATGAAACTAGGGATGATAGGCCTATTCTATCTCTTCTATATGCCCTTCTCTGTAATATTTGTAATTATTGATGCTAAATTCTCCTCTTTCGTCAACGCGAAAAACAATAACATATACACCCCATAATGCCAAACGTTTTATCATTCTCGATGTGCATAACTCGCTTTGAATAATTGTTAATAAAGAACGGTCAGTTCCGTTGAAGCGAAATCCGACCGAATAATATATAAAGCAATAACTGTGCGACATTAGTCATACGACGACAGTAATGATAAGATCTGCTAATATGAAACACGAGTTTATGACTAGTGCCTTCTAAAACACTGCCCTACAACTCAGTTCTAACGTATCACGATTACCTACAGGATATCGCAGAGAGGGGCATATTAATGGCAGGTCTGAGAAGTTAAGTTAATTGCGTAAAGTCAGGGTCCCATCTCACAATTTAAAAGTGTTTATATTAACGACATACTTGCGTTTGATTCGGGTCAATCGTAACTCTTGTGTACAGTTTATTGACGTCAGGGGGAGGGGTGAAGATAATGTGACACTCCCTGGAAATGTATGTTTTGTAAAAACACTGGAGGCACCTCTTCTTTAAGTTAGCAAACCTGTTGCGAATACCCCCCCCCCCTCATTCAAAATTGTTCTGGATACGTCCTTGGCTTATGCTACATTGCTGCGTGTACATGTAAATCGTATTCTTTAACAATTTACTTTTTGTTATAACACAAGTACAAGCAAAATGATGAAAACGTGAATATATAATAAATAGAGATGGTTATCTGGGTAGGCGTATACTCTTACGAATTGTCTTTGATTTAGAACAGTGTATAGGGAATTTGTTTTGATAAAAATTCGCCCAGCTAAACAAAATTATCAATCGAAATAAATTTATTCTGGAATGAGAATGCTACTACATCAGTAGTTAATCTTTTGGGATAGTTTTTCTTCAACTACGTTTATTTGTCGTCAGACATTGAAATGTTTAATTCATTGTTACAGAAAAATATTGTACAATGATTTTTTTTTTGTGAAAGTGATTCCGTTGAAATATGAGAACAAACTGATTTGCTGATAACGTTTTATACTGCTTCTTTGTTTTTAAAGATGACTCAACACTGATATTACATTGCGGCTCGGTCAAAATGTTAGTGATACTTTTGATACACATACATATATACACTGTTGGTCATAATGGTGGAATAATTATTTTTACCCCAATTTATTGAACAATGTACGTCGACGCCCCCACAAAAACAAAAAACAAAGAAAATGCAATAAATTTTCAATAATTCATGCATTTTCCCCCAGTCCCCAAAAGGAAAAATACCTCTGTAGGACCATGCATTATAGTTTAAGGCATGCCCACATAGAAGATTTTTTCATGTTGGGGGTCGTGGCAAAATACAATGAATTATTGAAAATGTATTGCATTTTCTTTTTTTGTTTTTGTGGGGGCGTCGACGTACCCTAGCGCCCGCTGCGTACAGTCATGATTCATTGGCTAAGCAATGGCCTCGTTACTGTGAGCCCCAAGGATCAAACCCGTGTCGATGTGCTATATTAGTGCCCTTTTATGAGGTATTAATCCCCATTACTGTCAGTTATGATGTAAGGACATAGGTCCCCTAGTTGATTAGCATTGTAGCACACACATGCTTTAGCAGTCACGCAAAACACACACTCCCCAATTGTCATTCAATAAAATCTGAGAATGTATACTATTATCTAGATCTATTAGGAATATATCATTGTCAAAATCATTCAATAAATTGGGGTAAAAATAAGTATTCCACCATTATGACCAACAGTGTAGTTGTTACCACAGAGTTGAACATATCTTTTTTGCAGAAGAAAGAGAGGATGGACACATTGATCGATCTTACTCCTACCTACCTACATGTAAGTGATCCTTGCCAAAAGCAAAAGGAAAACAAACCAATCATTACAACAAACGTGTTAGGAGAGAGAGAGAGATAGAGATAGAGGGAGAGAGAGAGAGAGAGAGAGAGAGAGAAAGAGGGAACAGAGTAAGGAATATAGGAAGGAAAGAACAATGAAATGATAACGGAAATCAATACAAGAACAATGAAATAAGAAAACTAAAATATGGTAAATGATAAAGAGAAAGCAGAAAAGAAAAGAACATGGAATATTATGAAGATAACTTTTCATCTAATGAACAAACATTCAAATATAAAACATTGTTGTTTTTAGTTTTTTTGGACAATTATCAAATAGGTTTGATTATTTTTTCCTTAAATCTGGAACTACAATCTTTGCTCATTTCCATGCGACTTTGGTCAAACTTAAACCTGAAATTAGATTGTAAATTTAGTAGAATAATTTCCTTTACACCCACTTCAAAGAATGCACACTGATAAAATTTGATGATTTATAAATTTCACATTTTTATTGGCATGCAAACTAAGCTCAATCATTTGCAATACACAGTATCATTTTACAAATCATATCACAAAGTAGCATATGAGTTGAACAAATGACAACAAGTATTGAGTAGCGAAATCATTAAATACAACTTTATAGGACGATCTATCACATATCTCAAAAGGGTATCTTGGTGTTTTCCCTTTAAAAAAAATGTCTACTTGGACCTTTTTAACAAGAACTTCTACTGTATAGCCAATTTCAATGGCTGTAAACAGTTTCATAATGGGAGCAAAATCGTCTTTCCATTTTCCACTCCTACGGCGATAGGTGTTCTACATAAAGCCTTTGTTTCCCCTTATGAAAGAAAACTTTCACATGTGTATTATGGAGTGCACTGCATGTGCATAAATGAATATTGATTACATAACTTTAATGAGCACGTATCCAGTATTTTGTCTCCGGGTATTTCACAACTTGGTCTGCAATAACCTTTATCTGCTCATGCTTAGACTGCAACCTTGAACTTTCTTATTCTGTATTTTTAGGGAGGATTTTAAAGATACAGTTGAGTTCTGGGCGCCTGATGGTAACTATGGCATTAGTATTAACCACCACCAATGGTAAGTTCTATGCAACAAGGCCCCGGTCAAGGAATTAAAGTGTGAAAGAATGTAAGAGTATATAAGGTTTGGCGTATACAGAATCGTTTTGAAATCATCAAAATGATCCAAAATTGACTTTTGAATAATGAAAGGCGGAGGCAGGCTAATTTAAAGGGATCCGGTAACTTTGTCTCAGATTCTGAAACAAAATTCTGGATTTAGCTCATGATGCAATGATAATTATAAACCTTTAGGTCAGTCAGGAACCCCATGACTTTTACAAGCCGATCACCTGTCTGATTATCAAGATATTTATGATTGGAATTACAAATTTTGAAAACCGTTCGCCTGACGGTTTTCATAACACTACAGTCTATTGGGGAAAACGAGTATGGTAAAACCGGTCACTCAAAGATTTTTACTTTTTTGAGGCACTTCTTGATCATTTTGAAGCGCAATTTTTGTAGGGCTTCAATATTACACCATATCACAGACACTGATAACACGTAGGGCCGTGTATCTCAGATTTAACATTGTTAAACGATCCCTTTAATTGAAAGGATTAACTTACTAGATGATCAGGAAGAATACAAAAATATCTGCTAATGCAGTTTCCAATGGTCAATTTTGAGGGCGAAAATTCTACATTTATTACAGCCTACACCTTCTTGACACACAAATATTGCACATGAAGTTACAGTTCCTACAAAATACATCTCATATTTATATTTCTTTTATATATTTTTAATATGCATTCAGCACATTTACTTTACATTTCTTTTCAATATGCAGAATATAATTATGTTCTTGTACTCAGTTGTCTCTCATACTATCTCTCTATATCCTTCCCCTCTCTCCATATACATGTATCCATCACTTCTCTTGTTGTTCCTGTCTCTCTCCCTCCCTATCTCTCTCTCTTTCTCTCTCTCCCCCTCCCTCCCTCCCCATCTCTCTCTCTCTCTCTCTCTCTTTTATGTCTGTCTCTCTATCTACATATATATCTCCCCTCTCATTTTTGTGCCTCTCTCTCTCACTCTCTCCCTCCCCCATCTCCCTCTGTCTCTTCTCTCCCCACATCTCTCCCTATCTCTTCTCTCCCCATCTCTCTATCTCCATCACTCATTGGAGAGCCTTATCCTCCATTCCTTCTACTTAGCAGGTATATCAGAGAAGATACTTCTTGTTGACATCTGCCTCGTATCATCTTCACCAAGCGTATCTATGACGACCTGAAGACATAATGAGAAAAGAACCATGTTTTTTTTAAATAATTCCCCAAGCTGCCTTTAAAGCTGCCAATTCACTGTACGTGTGACAGAAACTAATATTTTCAGGTCTCTCATTCCAATGCATGAATCAAAATGGGAACTTTGCCATTCACAAAAAAACAAACTTGTATTTATAAATTAATCAAATCATTACAGCATTTTGTGCCTAATAGCCCATATAAAAACTAGATGGAACTTTACGCGCAGTCAAAAGTGATGCCTCTGTCATAGAGCAATTTTACAAACCAAAACAGAAGAAATATTTCAAATTCAAGTTCGGTTGTAATCTATTAACAGGTTCTGAGAATATCGTGATTACAAGCTATTTCTCACATGTATGACCCTTTGATCTTTGAACTCATGACCCCAAATGCAAAATACATACATGTCTTGAGTTTGATGGTAATCCATCCATCAGTTCTAATGATAATGCAATCACAAGCTATTTTTGCATACATAATGAGCTCTGTGACCTTTGACCTCGTGACCCCCAAAATCTAACAGTTCATTGGCTCTGCAATTTACATACATGGCCAAAGTTTGGTAGGAATCCATCAAGCGGTTCTTGAGATAACGCGATCACGAGAACGGGACGTACGTATGTACAGACGTACGGACGGACAACCCGAAAACATAATGCCTGCGGCTACTTCGTAACGGAGGCATAAAAACTTAGTATGAGTAGACTAGTTGATGCCCCCAAATAAAATGTGGCTGGTTTGGAAGTCAGCCCCAGGTCAACTTCCCTGCGAGCATTCATATAACTGTTTCTTTTTCTTTCTTCTTTAAACAAACAAAAGAAAACAACCCTGTATGCTCTTTTACCTTACTGTTTTAACAATTATCTCTTTAAAGACCCCTTCTACTATTTCCCCATGAGCAGTCTTAATATACAGGTTTGTGACTTTGTCACCTGTAGACAGTATAACCCTGAGATAAACTGACCTGTTTTGCAGTAGCTACAGTGAAGTCTCCTCTTGAGACTAGCAGGTTGACCAGATGATCAGTCCTGATGTCGGAATAGCGATGAACCAGTGTCTTAAAACAAAGAATGAAAAATAATGTTTTTGTAAAGTATAAACACATGGACATGAAGTATAATACATTCATGTACCGGTTGAAACAGTCTCACGATGTGTGTGTCTCTCTCTCCTCCCCCTCTCTCTCCCCTGCCTCTTTCTCTCTTTTTCTCTCTCTCTCTTTCGCTTACTCTACCACTCTCACTTTCTGTCTTCCTCACTTTCTCTCTTTCTCTGTATTTCTCTTTCCTTATCTCTTCAAGATTGAACATTCAATGTTACATATTCATACATATTTTGTTTCCCATTCATATTAACTCACCGATATCTCAAGAGAAAGCATGGACGTGTCTTCCATACGAATGACCTCGGTCATCAGGGGAATGACCTGACATTGGGAGTTGCCCTAAAAATGGATATAAAAAAGAAAATACTCTGTGCCAAAAAAGATATATTTCAATCACAACACATAATCTCATACGGGAAAGCATAGTTACATGTACAGGGAAAGAATCTTAAAGTAGTCACTCAAAGAAAATTCACAACGACTGATAATTATGGACAAATTATATTTGGATGGAAAGATTTTCTCTTGAAGAACACGAAAATCTGGATCTCAAAATTAACATTTTTGAGAGATGATTATTGCTGGCCCCAAACATATTTTGAAGTGGGAAGTTGTTATATATGATCAGTAAGGCTTCCCCTTCGCAATGATATGAATTTTGCGTCAATTCGAAACACTTTTGATTATTCGGGTGACTACTTTAAGCATAACAGAGTGGCACAACATCCGCATATTGTTACGCGTTGGCAGTAGGGTAAGAACAGACGAATGGCCAGCAGGAGAGGTACATTTCTAGACATATGCATGACATAGGTTGTCCTGCCTGCCTTTGACTACACAACACATTTATCAAACTTTACACATCATCTATATTGTAACAGTAGTAGATTATCACTTCATTGTACTATTACCGATTCTTTCATTACAAAATTGAAAAAAATTGAAAAAAGAAAAGAAAAAAGATAATCTTCTGTGTTTGCACCCTTCTGCAGGGAATATGGCACCATTCATCACATTTCAAGTGTACAATTCAATAATTTTTGTAAAATTTGTAAAATACCATCAGTTATCAGCCCTTCAAATATCACAAACAAAATGGCTGCCTGGTATCAAACCTACCATATCCTCAGACCGCTTGAGACGTGAGAAGAGCCTCTCCAGCATATCACTCTCTCTGGTGATCTTCTCAATATAATGTAAAATAATAATGTAAAATACCGTCAGTTACTCAGTGGCACACCTATCAGCCCTTCAAATGTCACACAAACAAAATGGCTGCCTAGTAACCTACCATGTCCTCAGACCGCTTGAGACGCGAGAAGAGCCTCTCCAGCATATCACTCTCTCTGGTGATCTTCTCAATATAATGTAAAATAATAATGTAAAATACCGTCAAGTTATTCAGTGGCACACCTATCAGCCCTTCAAATGTCACACAAACAAAATGGCTGCCTAGTAACCTACCATGTCCTCAGACCGCTTGAGACGTGAGAAGAGCCTCTCCAGCATATCACTCTCTCTAGTGATCTTCTAAATATAATGTAAAATGATAATATAAAATACCGTCAGTTATTCAGTGGCACACCTATCAGCCCTTCAAATATCACAAACAAAATGGCTGCCCGGTAACCTACCATGTCCTCAGACCGTTTGAGATGTGAGAAGAGCCTCTCCAGCATATCACTCTCTCTGGTGATCTTCTCTGCAGCCTCCTTACGCTCCTCGTACGTCCGGAATGTCATCCGTCTGAAAGCAGCAAGGATGTGACATACATGTATGACAGAATTTGATTCTAAATAGATTAGTTGATTATTTGATTCCATAATTGTGTTTTTATATATTTAAGTAAATATCATTTAATTATTACTTGGTTTCTACTCAAGATTGTGGTCGCTTAATATTTTTATCATGACTTGATGAGTATTCCAACAATTCTAACTATTTATGTATGATTAATTTATTCTGATGTTTTAGTGTAAGCATTTAATATTCAGGACCAGGATGTAAACCAGTCCTCTCTGATCTTGTTATCCTGATGAAATATGTTCAAATAATAATAATGATAATTAAATAATGTATGACTAGATGGATCTCAGGGTGTCCGTTCAAGATATTTGCTAAACTGTGAAGCATGTGATTTATTCATTTTTTAATTTGTTTTACCTGAATGCTAAGAAAGCAAACATATGCTTGTAACCATTGGACCTACATCTTTTAGTCCTTTTATATAACCCTGAATGATGATTCTAAAATGCACAGAGTGGTATCTATCCCCTCTTTCCAAATATCTGGCCATTTGGGATTGTTTGGTACATGTACTGATTCGGTAATGAGACGTAGGCGGTGACCGTCCTCACTAGATCCTTAAAGTGATAATTTTATAGTTATGATAACTGGTATTTATTATTTTCAAAGATATGAGAATGGCTCTTCACATGACTTGACATGACAAACTTGACATTATTGGACATGCGCTATCTCTGAACTAGTCTACTGTAAACACTATTATTTTAGCGTGCTTAATTTTTAGCGTTGAGCGACCCCAAAACATATTCGCAGGTTCTTAACTTTGCGTTAGACACAATTCAGCTCGTTCCAAACATGCATAAGAAGTCATACTTATATTTTCGCGAGTTCTAAGATTCGCATTCTCCAATTTTACCGCGAAATCCGTGAAAATTAATGTACCGCAAATATGTCTACCTTTACAGTTTTCAAAACTAATAATTTCTCTCACTTCTCTAGCATGGCTTTGACGTAGGCAGTGACAGTCCTCTTCTCTAGTTCTTTTATGAGTGATTCAAAGTAGTTGGGTCTGAGATGGATGAAGTCATTGTGGTAATCTTCTATGGTGATAGACACAGTGTCAAGGGCTGGGGAACCAGGGTGCTGAAACCTGTACATCAATTAAAAAAATATATATACAAAAATAGATGGATCTTCGATTGCGCAAAGTCGAATTATGCCTCCGTCATAGAGGGGTTATTTTTAAAATTTGAGTTTGAATGCAATTCATTAACAGGTTCTCTGAAAATCAGGATTACAAGCTATTTTTCATTTACATGTATGACCCTTTGATCTTTGACATCATGACCCTAAATCTAATCAGTTCAATGGCTCTGCAAGATACATACATGACCTAAGTTTGCATGAGACCTTTGCATGATATACAGAAAGAGAACTTAAGAGAGAGAAGAAGTGAAAGGAAGAAGGGGGAATGTAAGAGCTAAAACATCGATATAAAAAAGAGCACTTTCATAATTTTATAAGAGATCAAGGCAGACAAATTCAGAGAGGAAAAGGGTACAAAAAAAAGAGGAAGGAGGGTAAGAAAGGGTAAGAAGGAGCAAAAGTGAGAAACATAAGAAACTGAGAGAGAGAGAGAGAGAGAGAGAGAGAGAGACAATAAGAGAGGGGGGGGGGGGGGGACAAACACACACAGATAAAGATGAAGAGAAAGATAGGGAACAGGGAAAAGGGGGGGGGGAGACAGAAATACTGAGAGACAGCATCTCAATATCGTATTCTTATCAAATGAAAGAAAAAGAAACTTACCATGGTCTTGTGATAATCTGATTGAGATGAGGCTCAAGATCTAAGAACATCTCCCACAAGAGATCGCCAAGACTGTAAACAAATACACAAATATAAATCAACATAAACTTCATCTTTTGACATCGTATATTGCTTTGAATTGTTTATTTTTGGGGTCAGGTTTCTTTAGTTTCAATACTGCTCCCTGAATAGAAAATATTTTCAAGCACCCTGTTACCAGAAGTTTAATTCCTTTCATTTTATTTTATTTTCATTTGCAGTTAAATTCTTCAGTTGCATGGGTGCAGTCCCTCCTTCTCCTCCTTTTTTTTAAATTTCAAAACCATATTCATGCTTTGTTATGGCTAATTCTGTAGAATACTGTGTAAAGATTAGATTAAAAACTTGCCTCATTGCATTGTGGTAATATCTTTACTGGTATACATGGTAGTACAATTCATAATTTATAGCAATCATGTGGTTCTATTCTTCTATAATTCTTGATAACACTCCTGACGACAACCTGTTTGAAACGTCAAGCCCCTCCTACTACCCATTCTCGCCAACCGGCGCTATAATTCTCTTTAGAACTCGAGAAAGATTACCAAAAGACCTTTTCAGGCCCACACACACACTCTAGAAAGAAAGATTACTGAAGGTCCTTTGCAGGACTCCCTAATCCTCCCCCTCTCTCTCACATGGTGCGACCGTAAGCCTACTGTATAAATCTTGATAATTTGAACGGTCGTACCTCTCTCCAGCTAGCTTGTTGAAGGCATCAATCAGACCCTGGAACACTGATGTTGACCCTGTCTCTCCTACCGGTAGCTTGAGATGCCTTCTCTGTAAGCATGATAGGTGACAGTCATCAAAACAGTAATGATAACAATAATATAGTCGTACTGTGAAGGCCCATCACATGAAAATGCATATTTAACTTCTGCAGAAGAGTATGGGTCTGTTAATCAACAGTTGGATCTAAATAAGTATCATGATATACAGTCAAACCTTCTTTAGTGACCACCTGTCTACAAAGACCACATTTTTTGGTTTCTCATTGAAACATGTACTTAAAGATAAACTTGAGTACTGGTAATGCGATTGCATTATGAAAGAAAAGGTGTGGAATGGATCAGAAAAGTTGATCATATAGCATGTAGGTAATGGTGTGTAATGCAAGGTTCTAGAGTCATCAAAATCATCATAAATTTGGCAGAGTCATGGTAAAGTAACAATCACTTACACAGATAGATGTATATGGGACAACACACATGGTGTCGGGGCTAGTACTACCCTGATTTCCTTATCTTTCTATGCTCATTACTCACATTGGCACATGACATTTATTTGTAATCTTGAACATTCAGTGTAAGTTTCGTTAGATTCTGTGAGAATTAATTTTATTTTTTTACCGGAACTCAAGTTTATCTTTAAGGAACCTGTCTAAAAAGACCACTTTTGTGTTTCCCTTGGGCAGTCGTTATAGAAAGGTTGACTGTACATGTACATGTGTTTCTGAACATTTTTCCTTTTTTTTTCCTGCAGGCTGCTAAGCCCCACTCATCAAAAGTCCTCCAAAAGCCTTGTGTGCCTCTTGTGACACCACAGACAGCTAAAATAAGATCAACGATGTGCAGGATCATGCACTTGGACTATTTAGTATAAGATAATAGCATTACAGGTTTTTACACAACATTACCTCATAAACTTTCAACATGTAATAGCCATTGCTATGCCAGACATATTTCGTGCATAGCCTAGAGCAAATGCTCTCAAATATTCTATTGAATCAAACTATTAGGTTGAACACCACTCTTACATACCTCTAGTTGTTTGGTGAATTCAATGAAGGAATGAAAGTTGTTCACAATAGCCACCTGTAGAGTAAAGAATAAAATTAAACACAAATATCAGAATTAAGAATTATTACGACCAGCATGTTTAGCTGCATAAAAGCACCATTGCAGCAGATTTCATCCGTCTCAGCAAAATGATAAGATGACTGCATCGACACAACTCCTGCACTACAGTCTAATATGTGTATAGCACATGGTGACGGTTCTAGGACAATTACCCTCTGGAAAATTACGCCCTTGGACAATCACCCCCCTCCCCCCCCCCCCCCCTCCCTAAAAAAAAACAATTTATTATCAGGGTAGACATTCCCTTTAATGAACAGGGAGGGGGGTGATTGTCCAGGGGGATAATTGTCCTGATGATACGCATGGTGACTAGTGGTTGTTATTTAAATCTAAACTAACATAATTCCAAACTTTGACACTTGGCCAAGTATAATACCTCAGTATCAACCCAAAACAGTGAACCTAACCTAACACACCATCGCAACCCCATTCCTAACCATGCGTACGTATCTTTGAAGAAATATAGCCCAAAGCAAAGTTCACGTCACTGACTTACCATATACTGGAAGAAGAATCTTGGCTGGCTTCTATCAGCCATGTGGCTAGTCTTGTAGTCTCGGATTGCATCTGAGTGTAAGGGGAGAAACAAAGGAAACATCTTCTATGACTTACTCCTTACTACCTAGTAACACAACTGCAAAAAATGGTGACGGTACTCACTCCACGGAAATTCTAATACTTGTTGCATCACCTATTAGAATGTTTGATCCTTACAATAAAATCTTCTGTAATCTGAACATAAATTCTATAAGATATTGCAGACTGAATTCTTAAGAGTCTGTTGGATTATGTTATCATGTTTGGATAAGTAGTGGGAAACAGAAGACAAAACACACACCCCACCAACATATATTTTCTGAAGCAGCTAAATGAAATGTTCCATCACTGTGTAAGCACAGTAGAAGCATCTATAAACTTCAAACTCATTATCACCCCATCGCTCATTATCGCTCACGCTATGAGCAATCAGTTCATCAACACAGAAACTGCGATATTTTGTCTTCAAACTGAACTGACCTCTGTATGTATCAATGAATAATTGGAGCTCTTCCACACAGAGCAGGACCACCTTGACTGTTAGGTCTTTGCTTATCTGGTTCGATACTTGTAGCTAAGATGGGAAGACAGAGACAAAAGCGACAGTAATGATGAGTCAATTATGTCAATTTGTTGATTTATCAGTTGCTCGCATTATCAATCTGAAATCATAGAATATAACGACTATGCTCATTTAAATGTAGTGTCAGTAATAGCAAGGATAGTGGATAAAATGTGATGATGCAAAAGGGATTTAGTTTATAGTATACTTTTGAGACACACAAGTGAAAGATGACTGCTTTTGTAAAATGTTGAGAGCATAAAATATTCACAAATTTCACGAATGGTCCAGATCATGCTGCAAAATCAATGAATCACAAATGGAACAACACTTCATTTTGTCAATTTCACAGAAGTTGATTGCGGGAAAAGGATGTAGAGGTGTTGTGGTGCAATGGATAAGACTGCACACCACAAGGTCCGGGCTTTGAACCCCTGTTTCAGAACTTATGTCCTTCAGCAAGGCATTTATCTACATTTGCCACACTCCACCCTGGTGAGGATAAATGGGTACTTGGCAGGAATTAATTGCTTAAAATGTTTGAGCCCTGTAATATCAGCAATGCTTAAACTGGGGTTATAATAATGGCATGCCAGAAGTGGCAATGTGCCAGACATGAGCGCTATACTATACTATCACTATTAGTTTACGATCCAAGAAATATTCATGGAGTGGAAGTTTCTGTTTATGAAGAGGCACCATAGCTCATTTGGTAGAGCAGTGGTCTTGTAATCTGGCGACCCGGGTTCGAAACCAAGGCGATGCGCTAGTGCCCTTTGGTAAGGCATTAATCCTCCTTACCAGGTCTCTCGGAGAGGACCTGAAGCCGTTGGTCCTCTGGTTGCTAACTAACAAGCATTTATGCTTTCTTAGCAAAATAACCACCACTACTATCACTTTGTTCATTACACAGGGGTGATAGTGAGCACTAAAAAAAAAAAAATAGGTTTTTTGTTTTCCCCTCAACCACGCCCCCCTTTCAAGTAAAAAAAATTTGGACAAAAATAGGGCAAAATAGGGAAGAGTAGAGAAAATAAAAGGGGAAATCGGGAAAATCAGGATAAAATATGGAAGAAGAAAAAAAATTGGTAAAATTTTTTTTTTTTTTAAATCTGGATTTTTTTTTTTTTTATCAATCGGGAAGAAAAAGAAAATCAGGAAAAAATCAGGAAAAATCAAAAAAAATCAGGAAACTGATTTAAATCAGGTTTTTATCAGGCCTGAATTTACATTTGTTTGTTGTGAGTCCGGTGAGGAGGAACACTTACATTCTGCTCAATCATCTGAAAGATAATGACTGCAAGCTGCGTCCTGAAGTAACCCTCTCCATCTGCATCAGGCTCCACTTCACCATTCCAATCCTACAGGAAGATACAACATTTAGAAACAATGTACTGTAACGAAACCGGTTCCTGTCGATGTTCTTCCCAGCAGTTTATCTTGTCAGGATGCCTCCTGCTGGCAGGTTTTCCTAGTCCGGTATAAATTTCGCCGTGGATCCGTTTGGCAGAGATATACTGCCCCGTTGACGTTGACACCACCTCTCGACCACCGTCCAGTCGACACTACCAGACCGTCACAGGTCTGTACTTCACCACCGTCTACTACCAACCGTTGTACCGTCGTGTACCACCAGCCGACTAAACCATTCCGCTTCTGCACCTGTCAAACGTCTATACCAGTCTGCTTGTGCATGCAACTCCAATTGGCCGCACCAGTTTGCTTCATGCACCTTTCAGACGTCTATACCAGTCTGCTTGTGCATGCAACTTCCATTGGCCGCACCAGTTTGCTTCATGCATGCACCTTCAAACAACCAGACCGTCTGTCTTTGTACAGTCCCTACCATCCGTCTACTACCAGACCACGATCACCGGACCACCGAAAGAGCAACCCCTGGTATTGTCTAATGCTAGAACGCAAAAGACCCAACAAACACAACCTGGATTCTAACCATGGTCATCACCTAAGATCAGAAATCAATCTTAGGCTTCCTCATGGAAAGACATGCAAACGATCATCTCAATCATTTCGTTGCACGCAATACTTTATTGGGCAAATATCCAAACATAGCCTAATTGCCTTACAGTGTAAGTGTGCCCAGTGGGCGACGGCAATTATGTAGACTATGACAGGAAACTCGTCTACACGAATGACACTTGATTTATATACACATTTCTTAAATATTTGTTATTTTCGTTAGGTTTCCAAGAATTACATAAACATTGATATAACTTCACTTTCCAATATCAGATTGAAACAAACCATATATCAAATGAAAGCAGTAGTTTTAATCTATAAAACTAAACAGAAGAGAACAAGTAATTATTCATGGTAGAAAAGTAATTAGACTAAAACCGTCGAAAACATGCACGATCAAACATTCTTGAAATTGACACGTGACTATAGCATCGTTTATTTAACTTGAATTACGCCATCTACGCCGAAATAGCTATCTACGAAATGAAACCAATTTCGTGACAGTACATTATGCTACTCTCTCCCTCTTATCTACCCCCTCCCTGCCCATCTGAATGTACATGAGTGTCTTATATTAAAATGAAAAATGACAGAAGAAATCATTGAAATTTAGCAATGGTGTTTCAAGATATGATTTTCATAAATGTAAGAAACAGAGTGGTATAGGATAAGGATGAGGGTGATGATGATGATGATGATGACGACGACGACGACGACGACGATGACGACGACGGTGATGATGATGATGATGATGATAGTGGTGATAATGATGATGATGATGATGATGATGATGATGATGATGATGATGATGATGATAGTGGTGATAATGATGATGATGATGATGATGATGATGGTGGTGATAATGATGATGATGATGATGCAGAGCTGCCAACCTCCAGAACAGAAAATCAGTAATCACAAGGCTCAAAATCAGTAATTTGGGGTATAAATCAGTAATTTCTTATGCGGCGCTATGAATCTAAAAAAACGACACGCCAACACTGCGCGGACGCATGATTATCTGAAATTTTTGGTGATTTTACTCACACAAAGATGTTAAGTATTGAATTTCAGGTCATCACAACACAGTTTATCATGAAAAATGGCTCCTATTCACAGCACTCGCTACGATAAATCATATTTAATTCATTAAAAAAAAAAAAAAAAAAAAAAAAAAAAAAAAAAAAAAATTTTTTTTTTTTTTTTTTTTTAAATCCGTAATTTGAGACAACATTCCGTAATGGTCGTTAATTTCCGTACCAATTACGGGAAATCCGTACTAGTTGGCAGCTCTGATGATGATGATAGTGGTGATAATGATGGTGATGATGATGATGATGATGATGATGATAGTGGTGATAATGATGATGATGATGACGATGATGATGATGATGATGATGATGATGATGATGATGATAGTGGTGATAATGATGATGATGATGATGATGATGATGATGGTGGTGATGATGATGATGATGATGATAGTGGTGATAATGATGATGATGATGATGGTGGTGATAATAATGATGATGATGAGGATGATGACGGGGATGATGATGATGATGATGATGGGGATGATGATGATGATGATGATGATGATGATGATGATGATGGTGGTGGTGGTGATAATGATGATGATGATGATGATGATGATGATGATGATGATGATGGTGGTGGTGGTGGTGGTGATAATGATGATGATGATGATGGTGGTGGTCATAATGATGTTTTGGAGATGATAATGATGATGATGATGATGATGATGATGATGATGATGATGATGATGATGATGATGGTGGTGGTGGTGGTGATAATGATGATGATGATGATGGTGGTGGTCATAATGAAGTTTTGGTGATGGTGATGATGATGATGATGATGATGATGATGATGATGATGATGATGATTATGATGATGATGATAGTGGTGGTGACAATAATAATGAAGGTGATGATGATGTCTTTTTTTATCGACAATTATACATAATGATTATGATGTTATTTTCCCATTGCCGGGAATAACTATGGAGATGATAAAACATAAAATCAATATCTCTGATAAATTAATTTCCATCTCATGTAATTTATTCAACATGGTGTAGAACTTGTTTCATTCAATATCTGTTCTCTTATTTCAAATATCATAACAATTTCTATTATCACATTTGCCTATTTTGTATTGAGGTCGTCCACAATAGGAAAATAAATCCTACCTTGGTATCTGTTTCCATAGCATTGGCCATCCAGAACTGAATATTGGTGTGTAGAGTCTTCATGTATCTGAATCATAAAACAAAAGGAAGCAGAACAATGTAAGTCTAACTGTGCAATCTAGTTTACAAATATGTATTCTAAATAATGATTCCACAAGGTAGGTATTTAATTGCTCTCGGGCTATTCAGTGTTTACCCATATACATACATACATACTTACATACAAAGCTCCATGGGATCAACCCAAGTTGAACTGAAGGAAAGAGACAAGCTTTTTATGGTTCAAATAAACTGGATGCCACAGAAACTATACATATCTGTCCGTCCGTCACCATTTTTTTCTTCAATTTTGATTCTGTCTTACATTTTCATCACTTCATATCCTTGATAAAATCATTATAGGTTTATTTTCCACATCTCCACAAAACAACCTGTCCAACACTCGTACTTACAAGACAGAAAATAAACCATCAAGATTAATTACAATAATGAATAATAATACTCATGTACTGTTAAGGCACAATGGAAAAGAGAAGCAAGAACTGAAAGAAGAACAACGTAAAACTATATTTACTGGGAAGAAATTCTGGTAAAAGAAAAAAAAGATGGAAAAAATGCTGGCATTTAAAACCCATCTATACCTGACACATTGTACATCAGTTGTGGAAAATGATTCCAAGTATTAAAGCCCATCTGTACTAGTTTGGCCAGGAGGGATTAGACTACCCAGCATGGTCACTGACAGGTCGCTATCTCATCAAATCAGCTCTCAATTAACATAAGAAAAAGAGGATCATGGGGGACCAACAGGCACCGCTTCGGCATTGTTTGCTATATAGAGGGAGCAAGTAGCTACATGTAGGACAATGGGGCTTTAAAGGTGAAGCACATATACATTTCAGAGAGAGGGAGCAAACCAGACTCACTCTTGCTGCAGATCTTCTACCATCTGATCTGAGAGCGCATCAGGTTCTTTCTTGATGTCTATACCAAGTTCAGGGTGACCAAGGAGCATTGGACCTCTGTGGATGACAAGCAGACAATGGTGGGTCAAAAGGTTAGTGTGGAGTTCTGATACCAATGATAACGATAAAGTGGAGCTGCTGTAGTTGAGTGGTTTAAAATTATTGATTAAAGATGCAAATTATCTCCTTTTGCCACATTGAATAAACACTAACACCAGCCCTAAACACCGAAATGGAAAACAGCTGGTGTTAAGGCTTTGACCTCTGAATATCATCAACTTCCGGTAGCTAGTGTTATCGATTTTGCAAAATTATCGTCTGCTGAACTGACCTTTGTGGCTTGTGTTAATATTTTACGTACAAATGTCCTATTCACTAACACTAGCCCCTAGGGATAAAGCAAATGTTGTTAAGTTATTAATATTGATATCAGTATCAGGCTCTTAACTGTATTTATCAGGGGATAGATATACCAAAGGCTTGTAATCCAGCTAATTGAGACCAGAAATAGAAAATTTGCAAATCCATTGTTTTGCACAAAGCAATCCTTCCATCCATTGCTGGTTAATGTTTTGGGAAAAATATTGCACTTGTGGCAAACAAGCATCCGTGCAGAGAGGTAAAGAAGAGCAACAAAAGTGTTCAAAACTTGACCGAATATGTACTTTGATGGATTCAAGCCCTGGCTTAGTACTAATGTCCTTTAAGCAAGACATAAATCTTTTGCGATACAATAGGTCATCTTCATAATGTAACCAAATGTAATACATAAGACTTAGTGAAGTGCCTCAATACAAATTATTTCATTCACCTGATAAAATAATTCAATACTATTCACTATTTCGATAGTCAGAATGCAAACTGCATATATCAAGTGTTGCTAGGTAGGTCAAGCCATAATGTTTGTCCTACTGTCTATTGAAATGCTATAATTTTCATGTGGTGAATGAAATAATTTGTATCGTGGCACTTCACAAAGACGTATCCATTAAATTTGGTTACATTACAAAATTGGCCTATTCCGGTAGCAGACCTCATAATTGATGTATTCAACTAGAGTTTGCATTGAGCAGGGCATCAGCTATATTTAATTAATATTCAACATAAGCAGTGAACGATATCCAACATTTATTTACAGTCAAATTTTCTTGTGACTTTTGATTAGTACCTTTTTTTCAATAAAGAATTTGATAAAGTCAACTGGGCTCACTCACAGTGTCAAGTATGTTATGAAATTGAAAAATAATAATAAATTGTTGACCATGTACATGAACAAGTAGTAGTAAAAGTGATTTCCGTTCTAATAGAGCATGTATGTCGTTGTGATACAGTATTCCCATGTACTTCAAGAGAACTTACTTGAATTCTGTAATCCATGTTAGCATCTGAATAATCTCATTGTGTTCCAGGCCAGAACCAATCAGGTCTTGAAGCTGAACATAACAAAAAAAAGCTTCATTAAGTATCGTCTTTAATGATGTATTTTCATTGAAAGCTAGCTAAAATAGAGGAAGGGGAAGATAACAACTCTTCTTCCTTCCTTATGAAAGACACAAAGCACAATAAAGCCTTCATCTCCTAATTACACCTAATCCCATATTCTAGAGAAAGTACCGGTACCAGGTATTCTAGTTCCAAAACATGACCCTTTACCTGAGGATTACAAGAATAGACTCCTTTATTCAGTAATTCAAAAGTATTCTTTTCAGTGCCATTGGCAGTTGATTTTTTCAAAATGTATCCATTTTTGTACGAAAAAAAGAAGCTTATCCTTTCTTTCTTGAGATTCAAGACAGATTCTTAAAACTACGAGTTTGATATCATGAAACATGGTATGTGACAATGAGGAACACACAGAGAGGGAACATCATCAATATTTGTCTTACAAATTAATATTTGTGATAAACAATTGTAAACTTGGTGGCACTATACGGTGCATATATAAACAAAAGTATACCCAACTTCAGTAGCTTTAATTAAAAAGTCATAATTAGTGTGTTATTGAAACCTATTTCATGGTAAAGAGTAACTTGTTTTCAGTCTTATGATACCCTATTCATGTCTTTTCTGGATGACTGACCACCACATATCTTTTCTCAGACTGAAATATTTCAACGCCCAAGGGCTTTTGACCCACAATCATTGCCTCAGCCCAAACTTGGTACAAGAGGATTTTGACAGCACTTTTTGAAAAGGCTACTGCTCAGTCATCCGTGGCAGGAAAGTTATGAATAAGGTATCATTAAACAGAATATTAATTACTCTTTAAAATGAAATATAATTCAAGGTTGAACAAGTTATAACTTTTAAATGGGAATCTGCCAAAGTTTGGTACTTTTTTTGATATGCACTGTAGAGGTTTAAGAAATCTGCTGCGATTACTTACATGTCCAGAGACATTCTCTATGTAGGTCTTGATGAAGAACTCAAAGATCTTGTAATCGGGAGGAAACAGGGGGACACACAGGTACTGCAATCAAGAACATAAACAAAGATTATTATCACATTAGTTTACTGGGAGAGAAAATTGTGCTAAGGCAAAATGAATAATAGTTTTACTGACAGACTGTTGTATACTTACACAATGATGAATGACAACACACATAAATTGTTACAAATACACACAGATATGAGTATTATAACCTAACAGGAACTTAGGTCCTTTCACCTGTTCACACATCTTTTAAACAAATATGTAAACTTACATACAGGTTTTTCAAACAGGTTTTTCAAACACTCTACCACAACAACTCCGCCTATGTAGTACAAAAGACACATTCACAAAAAACTTAAAACCCAACTCTTTCCATCTTGAATCCATGTATGTTTTGAGTATCTGAATTTCTTTTCGTTCATAATATCTTAATTACTGTTCCTTGTTTGATTGTTATGATTAGTATGTTTCTTTACTGTTGTAATAGCGCTCTGATCATTTTGTCTGTAGTTGCGCTCAATAAGAATCAATTATTATTATCATCAGTTACATACTATATCTAATCATTTTGGAATTATCAAGAATAGCAGCTGTGCTACTGAAATATCGCAAAATGTTCACTTTCCACAAGGATCATATTTGAGTTGAAATACATAAAATGGTATATCTTAGTGGTACCAAATAAATTATTTGAAAACAAAACTAATTTGGTATAAATATAACACTTACTTTGACAACCTGAAGATCCTCCACCATGTACTGTCTGATCAACTCTAGATGGCGCACTAACCACATGCGCTCCATGCTCCGATCTTCTAACTGGCTACCTTCAATCCTGAGTAACGGGAAATTTGAGAAAATATATGACGAATTACATACATGATTAATTCCGTAACACAGCAATTTGGGTTTAACATTATAACCTTGTAACAATTAGCGATCACTCTGAATAAGAAATACAAAATGAATATATACCAGTTAAAAAAACATAATTTGAAATATAAAAAATTAATACAATGGGGTAACGCAAGTTTCACAATTCGCAGGGTGTAAGCAAGTGAATTGGATCTGTTGATCCAGTTATCGGTACTAGCTTATAAAGCAATTCAATTATAAGCTGAAACACAATTATAAGCTGTAATGGCAGCACAGCTAAAGCTGGAGTAATGATCTCCAAATTTGGAAGCACTTAGAGACTTTATTGTTATTCACGCTATATAAAAGCTGAGTATTACTATTATTATTATTATTATTATTATATATAAGATTTGTACTGAAAGATCAACTTACTTGATATTAACCACCTTCTTGAGCTCGTCAATACATCTCTTACGCCAGTTCTTAGGGCGCCCTGGTGCCTTGAACCCGGCCATCTTCTCTCTATCTGACATCTTCTTATCAATCCTGATCAAATGAAGAAGAAAAAAACAAAGATAATTAAAACAAGAAAGAGATAGAATGACATGCTTTGTTTTGTTTTATAGAGACTTACAGAAGATAACATAAACATTTGTGTTACATCAAAGTATGATAAAATTATGTTTGTATCACAATGTACCCTCACATCAGGTGTTCAAACAAGATTAAGTAATTAAACAAATTATGAATTAAGCCTTTTTATTTATTCCTGTGATAACTTATACCTTTACTTTTATTGATATTCAGCAAAACACACTACGATTTATCTAAATCCCTTCATGTAGCTTTCACATCCCATAAAGCTTTTTGAATCAACACATCCAACAACACTGTTCTTGCTTTAAATATTTTTGAAGTGATAATGATAGGAAAGTTTCTGATCAATTTGGTTACAAAACTACCACATCAAATTTCTTCCTAGTCCATGGCAACTTTCTGGAAGGTTAAGTCCACTCTAAAAAATAATACCTAATCACAATACATATATGAACTCAACATTTTCTCTAAAAAAAACGTTTTCTAAAATGACTCACTCACATATGAAATGACCTTTTGAACTTCAGCATCTCTCATATTACTGGTCATCGATTATATTGTCAATTACATTCCTCCTTGTTTACAAAATAATTTAAGCCAAGAAATTACTTCCTGAGTTCATGTAGATTTCTTCATTCCAGCAATGTACATATCACCCACCCTTCTATTGTTACACATACTGCTAGTGTGAATTTCACACTGCTGGTATGTCCTGTGTAACATACAACCTGTCACTCAATAAACCATCCTACATTGTATGACCTACTTCTCTCATAAAGTAGATGAAATTACAAAATCATACAGATCTTCAAATATTTCATTCAATAAATTCTATGAGAGTTGAACAAGAAAATTATATTGACAGCTATAATGTAATTTTCCATTAAGATTACAAGGCATACGTATTTTACTTATTTTGGGCTCTTGGTCATTGACCAGATTCATTTTCTTATTAAATTTTACCAAGATTCTCTTCGAAATTGCACAACTGATTCAAAGCACACAGATAATTGAAGGAAGGCATTTAGAGAAAAAGAACAATCATAATTGTTTACCATAAATTGAATGGATAATTTGGACATACAAAATGTAAATAAACTGAAGAAAAATCAAATCAGGAGTCTCTTTTTTTTTTACCTACTAACTGGCATAAAACTTCATGCTTGTATTTTTGCAGAGGCATCATTTTCTTAGGCATTTTACTGCATCATGTGTCAATGGGGCTTCAGTAGTTAACATATAAAAAGCAACTCACCTCTCTTCTCTTTCTATAATACGAAGACATGTGACGACCAGCTGAGGCTGTCTGCTAGCGATGAGTAAGTGACGTTGCAGGACCAATCTTATCTGCTTGAAAAGCATGTCCTAGGGAAAGCGAAAGAAAGAAATTAGTGTCTAATATGTAAATATTTACAATGCAGCACATCAAACATTACACAATTGTATATAATCAACCATCATTTAGAAGGCTTGTTGAGATATGCCGCGGTAAAAGAAATGAATGATGAATAGCAACTGTATACACCAAAGATCCTCAATGTGTTCACTAAACTCTGTGTTATAAGATAAAGTAATCTGAAGCGTATTACACTAACGTCACCATAAAAAAATGCCACCGTGGTTTACAGTGTCATATTTGAAGTAGCCTTTAGAGTAAGTTCTAGATTAAACATTTCAAAAATTCATGATACAAGAAAGGAAGGGGTGGGGTGGTTGGGAATTGTGGCCCCATATCTAGTGTCACTTATGATTATTTCTCTTTAAGGTTGAACATTTATTGGGATCTTTTTTTAAACATCTTTTTTACTCATGGAAAGAACAATCCAAAATTTCAACTGACACAATGTCTGCTTACATTTAATTTCATAAATTAATTTTCACAGGATATCATTTTTGACGAAAGTGTATGTTAATTACTGACTATGTACATGTAAAAAGTAGAGTATGTTTATTTGTACTTACTGACAGTTTTGCTACTTCTGAGAAATATCTTTGCAGGAGCTGTAATACAAAACACCCAAAACATACAATTAATGATAACAAATATCAACAAAAGGTCAATTAAGTCCACTATTATAGGTTTCATGTTTAAAAAAATGTACATGAATACCAGTAGGTAAAAAACAGGGTTTCAAATGTTCAAAGTTATGTAAAGCATAGTAAAACATCAAACTGTAAACATGTAGAAAATTGTCCTGCTAAAGAACAGGATAATAACAGAAAAGCAGTTACCATTAATACCTCAACTGGAATAAGACTCAGGAAGCAACTTGCATGATAAAGTTGTGATTCAATTCTACAAAACTAACATAATGTATCATTACAATGATAAATATTCCTTGTAGTATATATATATTTTAACCTAGAATCAAACTGTTTAACATGGCTAAAGGCTTTCACACAAAATTATGGTTTATTCTACTTGTTTAACTTTTGACTCAAATTCGTGAAAGTTAGATTCATTGTTTGCTTGTATGAATACTTACATGGTTATCTGTTGGATTGTCTGATGGCTGTTTGTGTAATTCATAAAGGAGGTCATCTCGTGAACTCTCCAGCTCCATCAATCTGAGGAAGGAATACACAAGATAAATCTATTTGACATATTGACAACATCATTTATAAATTGCTTTGATTTTCTCTCTCTTTCTCTTTCTCTCTCTCTCCCTCCCTTCCCCCCCCCCCCCTCTCTCTCTCTCTCTCTCTCTCTCTCTCTCTCTCTTCCTCTCTCTCCTCAGTTTCAGCCTCATGTTTGTCCTTCTCAATTCACTTTCATCTGTCCACTCTTCTCTCTATTATTTTTTTTTGAGGGGAAGGGGGGATGGTTGCCTCAAGTTCAACCATACTGTTTCTAAATTGACATTCAGATTTTCAAGAATTACTACTACATTGAAAGTAGGTCTATGTGAAGGACAATTACCGTAGGGAAAAAAAATCAATGTTTACCAAAAATCGGACACAGGACAAGAAAGTCATGGATTCTTGGACATCCTGATCAATAATGATAAGGGAAATCTGGCATGCCACTGGCAATGGGTTGTTTGTAATGTGATGTCATACAGGGAATCCAAATGCAAACAAGTCAAGTGAGAAATGGCAGAAGTGATAAGATGTCATGGTCTTACCCTTTATGGGCGTGAAGCAGTTTTTCTTCTTCTATGTACATCTCTGTTCTCTTGACGTTTTCCGGGACAGTGAAAATGTGCTTCAAATTCTCCACAGCAGCTGCAAGCTAATTGGATAAGTAAAATCAATACTAAATGAATACCTCTCTTTTTGTTGATAATGTATATATATATATATATATATATATATATATATATATATATATATATATATATAAATACATATACAAATATATTAGTGAGGGCAATTCTTTTTCATATTTATGATTTGAATATAGCCTCTTGAATTTGTGGGGACACACACATTCAACCATGTACAGAGTGTACTGCAAACAGATTTAAAAAGATGATTGTATATATACTCAATGCATATTGTTTTGCAAGACATATACATTCGCACTGCAAATTCATTGTAAAATATAAATTTTCAAAACATTTTCTTTTTAAACTTCTGAATTATTTTTGCTATTTGTTAAGCAAAATCTAATAATAATCATTCAACCAATTTCTTTTAAATTCTGTCATTATTTCCATATATCTTTAATGAACTGTTTTATAAAAAAATCTTTAAAACCACTTCCACACTAAAATTTGTACGTCATATTATTATTATCATTAATCTTCTTTTTTTTTGGGGGGGGGGGGGAGGTGGATGAATAAATTATTTTACCTGACTGTGTTGGCTTGCTACTTCTTTGACCTCTCCGAGTGTAGAGGTCAACTCAGCACACTCCCTGTACCTCACATCAACTTCATGGACCCTGTGTAAATACAATCATAGAAGAAATAATAATAAAACAATCTTACTTTAAATAATCTCAGAAAATAATGCAAGTCTACATAAAGTTTTGGCTGGATTTCGATAGTGTCAAGTATGTGCCATCATATACTCAATGTGTGGAGCTACAAAAATAAACTTACACATTGGTAACACATAATTATTTTTGTGTAAAAATTATTTTAAAAACTTAGTTACACCAACAAGACTCACACTAGACTGACAACAGCGCTAACAAACAATTGAAATATATTTCAATTACCCTGAATGACCAAGAATCTGTTGGTTTAGAGTCTGTTTGGCAGTGTGACCAAGGTGTACAGGAGAAAGAGGATCAAGGGTGAGTGAAGGAGGTGTTCATCATGAGTGAGTTAAATAGAGAGAGAAAGAGAAAGAGAGAGATAGAGAGAAAGAGAGAACTACATTCAAAGAACTATATTCAAAGACATTACCATGTCCTTATCTCTTTGATGCCGTTGAGGGCACCACTCAGCTGCGTCAGTCCCGTCCTAACCCCATCGAGCTGAGACTGCATTGCTGTCTTCAGACGTGCCTCTACAGACGCCTTCTTCCTGGCTTCCCTTCTCTTGAACTGCTCCACTCTCTCCAATTGATCAGGCCTCTGTAAACAAAACATAAACGGACATAACCACTTGATTGATTAACCCTAGCAATACTCTTCTTCATGTCAATTAGAAATGGGCGTCACCTGGAGAGCGAAAATGGAATTATGGAGCAGAATGACAGAAGTGGCATGGCTCAGTGAATAACATGGAAATGATTTGGCTCAGACAGTAAATTTAGATCAAGGCTTGAATATTGAAGCCACATATTTTGTACATGATTATGAATGAGAAGCTAGGAATGAATTCTTATACTGGGCTTGGACTAACATTATCTTGAATTATCCAATTATTTCATTAACATTTAATTAAGAGTGATCTCCAGACAAAATTTATATTCATATTTTGTTTGGGGCTCACACATGAAGACTTTCGTATACAACTGCATCAATACGTCATAATTTATAAAGTAAACGTGCAATGGGAGAATAACAGTAATAACTGAAATAGAAATTAGGATCTAATAACAATATATTACAACAATAAATCCTAAATAATAATAAGAAGAATAAGATATTTCTATAATGCAAATTGCATAATGCCTCTAATAAAGCAGTTACTTTAGAAGGAAAATTAGTTGATAAATTAACTAAGGAAACATCTAACAGTATTTTCATTACAAATTAGATCTAGAGTAAAGGAGGGGGTAATCAGCCGGCGACAGTTTTCGGCCGGTCCGCTGGATGCATGGAAAAATCCCTTTAAAATACATCGCATAATAGCATATCACATATCCCACACATACATGTACCATAACATGCCATATCATAGTCACTGAAGAACCACATTTCTTATATGTGTCTGTATGGAATATGGGTACCATAAAATGAGCTTTATTTCAAGTATTTTTCAGATTAAGAGCTCGATTTTGCATGAGTCGCAAGCTCGAAAGTATCTCATCGCATGTATTAAATCAATGCAGCCGGGCACCGCAGCGCACACACGATATTGCTGTCTAATTCAGATTACAATTTCCGATCACCGCAAAGATAGTTTTCGCCATGGCGAGCTCCGGCGTGGGATACCTGCTCCGCCCGCTAGTGCTATAGATCAGCGGGGAAACGCACAGCACGCGTGCGCACTTCCTATTGACTTTGTACATGTCTCGCTATGCTGATAACTGTCTCTGAAACAATCAAAATTGAAATGAATATTGTCATGGCAATTCATGATTTTTTTCTGGGATTCTTTTTTTGTTTAAATAATAATATTTGCTTCATGATTTGAACAAGAAATGATAATAAATAGGAAGTAAAGAGTCCAAAAAATAGGATTTTGACTTAAGTGGCCGAAAACCCCCTCCTTTACTCTAGATCAAGATCTAGATCTACATCAAATAAATTAGACTATTAGATCTAACTGTTAGACCTAATTTAGATAGAGTAAAGTACCCGGTAATCGGTCAGCTCCGGTTTTCGGCCAATTGGTTGGATACATGGTAAAATCACTTTAAAATACATCGCATAATAGCATAACACATATCCCACACATACCATACCATGCCAGTGTCACTGAAGAACCACATTTGCAATGAAAAATATATCCTAAAATATCACATTTTAGCGATGTAATCGGCGGTCCCGCTACCCAAATCTGAAAAATCGAGTTTCTTACGCGTGTATGTAAGAAATATGGGTACCATAAAATGAGCTTTATTTCAAGTATTTTTCAGATATAGAGCCCGATTTTGTGCTGGTCGCAAGCTCAAAAGTATCTCATCGCATGTATTAAATCAATGCAGCCGCACACCGCGACGCACACACGATATGTCTGTCTAATTCAGATTCCAACTTCCGATCACCGCTGTGCCTGTATTCGGCCAGGCGAGCACCCGGGAGCTCCGGCGTGGGATACCTGCTCCGCCCGCTTGTGCTATACATCAGCGCAGAAACGCACGGCGCGCGCGAGCGCTTCCTATTGACTTTGTACATGCGGCCGTAAACTGAAACGCTCGGCCGATAACCGGCTCCAAAACAGTGAAAATTGAAATGAATATTGTCATGGCAATTCGTGATTTTTTTGGGGGATTCTTTTTTTGTTTAAATAATAATAATATTTGCTTCATGATTTGAACAAGAAATGATAATAAATAGGAAGTAAAGAGTCCAATAAATAGGATTTTGTCTTAAGTGGCCGAAAACCGGGTACTTTACTCTAGAATCTAGTAATTAACATTAAAACTGATAAAATTAATATTAACAATAATGATAATAAAATCTAGATCTAGATCTAGACTACTAACAGTTATATTTTGCAATGAGTTGACATGTAGTCACAATTTAGTCTATGATTACACAACTGAGTTATTTCCCCTTTCTACCATTTATAGTTGTATACACTGGCTGCAACTCCACATTCAAAACAGTATAGGCCTAGCCTATAAACGAGCGCGAGCACTTCCTGTAAATTGCAATCTGTATTTGCCTTGGCTGTAGGCCTACAGTGCAGTGCAGTATGCAGGGTAATGTAAAATTTCAGCTTCGAATTTACCTTCAACATGTTTTCAACACGTTTTGAAGCCGATTCTATAGCATCAATTTCTGCCTTTCCAAAGTCCTCCCCCAGCATCGTGAATGTGGATAGCAGACCAAGAAAACAGACCAAGAAAACAGTAGAATAGTGTGGAAAAATACCGTATGTTTAGCAATTTTTATAACTCGAATGAACGAAAATGCTACACCCCTAGATTATATGGTATCGTTGAGAAGACAACAAAAATGAAAAACACTACATAGGGCACATAATAGACGAGTGTGATCGTTGATTCACTGTGATTGAATATTATAGGGTTATTGTCCTCGGGGGTGGGGGGGGGGGGGGTAGTTCTCCGGGGGTAATTGTCCTTGGGGGTTATTAGGGGTCCGCTCGTTATTCATAAAGAAACGCTATTTGCAATTGGGGTCGCTATTAATAATACGAGAAAAGGGTCGCTATTCATAATGTGAGAAGAGGGTCGCTATTCATGATACAAAATAGGGGGTCGTTATTCCTAGGGGTCCCTCTTCATAATACGAGGAGAGGGTCGCTATTCATAATACGGGATGAGGGTCGCTATTCATATAAATCAAATAATCAAACAAACTTTATAATAAGAAAGGGGAATATTGGATGGGGGATACCCCCATGGCGATCCTCATTTCGTATCATGAACAGCAGTCCTTATCAGTAGTGACCCCGACTCCGACCCCTCTCTCTTTTACTCCCACTCCTCCTTTCTTCAGGCTTTTACCTTCCCTCTCTTTCCTCTCTTTCATCCCCCGTTTCTTTTGTTTCCCTTTTCTCTCTTTCTTCTTTTCTTCCTTTTCTTTCTTTTCCTTTCTTTCCTCTCCTCTCTTTTTTCATTTTTCTCTTTTCTTTCCTTTCTTTTCCTTTCTTTCCTTTCTTTTCCTTTCTTTCTTTTCTTTTCCTTTTTTTTTCCCCCTTTCCCTTGGCTCTCTTTTTTCCTTCCCCTTTTCTCTTTTTTCCCGACGGCAGCGCAATTTTACCGAAAATATCCTGACAGGTGGGGGGGGGGTGTCGCACCCCCACCCCCCCCCCTTTGGAGACGCCCCTGAATACAACTAGTAATAATATATGTGCATAATACATTAATCCACGAACAAAATGATTGACCAAATACAAATAATTTTAGGATCTTAAATAAGAAATTATGTATAGAGTCAAAAGCCTTTCGAAACCCACCGTGACCAAATATCCAATATTTTAACATATAATTCTCTTATCACACTTTTCCGTTTATTAAACTTAAGTAACTGTTCGAAATATTGTGTTTTCTGTTCTCCTTCCTCAACCTAAACGGCCCTCGTCGAGTATAGTAATACAATATATTCAAGTTGGATCCCTCCTCAATTTCATCAAATATATTTCTAGATGGTCGAGCCAAAAGCTGATTTCTAAACATCTGATTTCCTCTTCTAATTTGTCACTGTTAAGTTTCCTATGTTTTTCTTTTGTCTCTGTATAACTATTAATAAACTCTCTAATTTTCATTTTCAGAAAATCCCCCTTCACACACACACACACACACATTCTCTCTTCCTCTCCTTTTTCTCTCCTCTTCTATCTCTCTCTCTCTCTCTAAATATCTCTCTCACTCTCTGCCATACATCTCTCTCTTTCTTTCTCTCTATTTCGATCTCTCCCTCTCGTCACTCATATATCACCTCCATTCTCACTCTGCCTTCCTCTCAAAGTATCTATCTCCTCTCTCATTCTCTTTTTCTCCCAATCCACTTCTCTTTTTCTTGATATCATGTTTTTATCTCTTCCAAGTTATGCTGATAACATTCACGAATTCATGTACGTATACGTGTAACTAGCTGGGATGGGTTGGCGGGATTCGAGGTTTTGAACACTCCCGCGAGCCTATACAGAGTGAGTCAAAAAAAGTTTACACCTAGACAATTGCTAATTATTTTAAAAATCATCAGTGAACAGTAAATTATTATACATCTTATGAAAGAGTGTTTTATCCCAAATCATTTGGTATCATTTGGTTGTGGTATGTGTTCACGCTTGGATAAATACGAGCATTGTTTGCGAGAGTGCAAACATCGACTTGCGCCAAAGTTGCTTATGTGATGTTTGAATAAAACAACTTGGATTTGGGTATTAATTCGGTCTTTGCAGATCTAAATAACATCCCTAACAAAATTAATCATGCCACACATATCAAATATCGAATATCAACAAACATTTGTGCGCGTGTGTGTGGATGGTGTGACTTTGACCTTTGCAAACAGCATATGCAAAATAATGCAATGCATTTCATTCGATACATTTAATTCATTCTTTCACTCCACTAATCCCAACATAATACATACTGTACGCATCACTTTGGCGCAAGTCGATTTTTGCACTCTCGCAAACAATGCGTCGTGATCATCCAAGGGTGAACACATACAACACAAAATTGATACCAAATGATTTGGGATAAAACATTCTTTCATAAGATGTATAATAATTTACTGTTCATAGATGAATTTTAAAATAATTAGCAATTTTCTAAGTGTAAACTTTTTTTGACTCACACGGTATAGAGAGCAGATATCCCTTTAAGAAGAAATTGGAATATCTAGCACAGACTAATGCTCTGAAGAATTTTGATCAAGAAATCAAGAAATACATAGTTTAATGCGGACAATAGCTAGCAGGACTAGATTTTTTTAATCGCCATGGCTCTCCGAGTAGGAGGCATAAAACGAAGGGGGGGGGGGGGGTGATGTCAATGCCATTAGACATAGCACAAATTGTTTTCACTACCCCCCCCCCCCCCCTTTGCCCACCCGATGGCATGGGAAACATTGTTGATTGTAAATTCATAAATTTCATTAAATTCAAATTCAAACTTTATTGATTTCAATCCAAACAGATCGTTCTCAACTTTTTTTTGTATACATTGGATAACAAATTTCAAAGCTGTAATGTAATATAGATAATGGAGTGTATTAAAGAGTAAATATAACAATAACCAGGAATGACACAAATTAACATACGACTGTGAAATATAATACAGGGAAAATTAAAATAAATTATATTACTCGTAATACTTTATACAACATTTCCCCCTTTTCTTTTCAAATAAAAAGGGAAAAATATAAAATGATATAGTAAGACAATATACCAACCCCTCCCCACGAGATAATCCCGACATCTTGACCCTATTCTAAATACAAACTCGTGGGAGACAGTGAGCATGGGGAGACAAATGCTTTTTACAATACTTAATTACATCGAGATTAATCATACTAATTTTGTATTTCTATCACAATAATAGACAATCAAAAGATATTAATAGCATAAAGATAAACAGCAATGTAGATGAAAGAGGTAAGAAATTACGTGGTCAAAAAACAATACTTGAACTTTGTATATATTTATACATACAATTATATACATACATACACATACTGTACATAATTTCCACTGGCTTTCAGTAGGACAGTTATAACCGTTTTTATATTCCTATTTCCGGGTAAAAATAATGTCCTAAATTTTCCTGGCTGTAAGAGCAAAATCCCGCTCACTCCATAACTATTTTCTGTAAGTTTATTTTGAAAAGACAACAGATTGCTAGTTTACAGGTACTCGTATTTCTCATCACTTTCTATCTCATATTTCCAGGTTCTCAAGTTGTATTCAAGTGCTCACATTGGTAGACAAAGAAAGCGAACCAGCGCCTAGTTTCATAAAGCTTTTCATCAACTAATAACAATTTAGAATAGGATTTTGACACACCCATATATTTTGTTGATACATCAGAAAAAGAGAAAGAGAAAGTGTGAAAGGAGTAGGGAAATAGGAATGAGGAGAGATAGGTGAAGAAAGTGAGAAAACAAGAATGAAGGGATTATACCCCCACATACACATTCTCTCTCCCTCTCCTTTCTCTCTCCCTCTTCTACCTCTCTCTCTATTATCTCTCTCACTCTTCACCACCTCTCTCTCTCATCCCTCTAATAAGCGCTATATAAAAACTGAGTATTATTATTATTATTATTATTATTATTATTATTATCATTCTCTATATTTCAACTCCATTCTCTCTGCATCTGTTTTCCTCTACACCATCGACTTCCCCTATCATTCACTTTCTCTCCAAATTCATTTTTCACTTGATATCATGTTTCTACCTCTTCTATGTAATACGTAAGTATAACTAGGGGGATGGAGTGGCGGGGTTCGAGGTTTCGAACACTCCCGCGAACCTAATGTAATTTATTACATGTATAGAGAGCATCCTTTCAAGGAGAAATTGAAATATCTAGCACAAACTAATGGTATGAAGAATTTCGATCAAGAAATCAAGAAATACATATTTTAATGCGGACACTAGCTAGAATGACTAGAATAAACAAAACAAAAAACGTCATGGCTCTATAAGAGGCCAAAAATGAAGGGGTGGTGATGTCAATGCCATTTGACATAGTACAAGTTATTTTCAATATCTCTCCCTCCCCCTCCTATTACATGGGAAACATTGTTGATTGTATGACTGAATTTGCAAGGGCTTTCAGGAGGACACCCTTGACAGTTACACACGTTTTTGTGTTCACATTTCCGGGTAAAAATAATGTTCTAAATTGTCCAGGCTGTAAGAGAAAACCCCTCTCATTCCCTAATTATCTTCTGTAAGTTCATTTCGAAAGACAATATAGATTGCTACTTTTCAGGTTCTCGCATTTCATATCACTGATTATCACGTTTAAAAATGCTCTAATTTGACGGAGACACCCCATCCTCCTCCTTTTTTGCTCTGTAGGCGACCTTTTCGTCTAAACTGTGCATGAAAATCACGGGTACACATTTATTTTCGCTGTAATACGATCTAATAATTGTTTGACAGAGCGTTTTACCCTAAAAAGGTAAAATATCATACAACAATGTGAAAGTGTGTGTGTGAAGTATTAAAAATGCTCTTAAAAACAAGCAAATTGTGTTGTGACTGGCAACCTGGCATTATTTACAGAAATGTACAATTCAATGTATATGATTATAAAGCATTCAGCAATTCCACAGTCATGTTCGACTTTTTCGATGGCGAGAATTTCTATATTTTCAGAGATCGGTATCTTTGAGGAAATCTCACGGACATCGAGAGATTTAAGATAACATTTTGTAAAACAATGAGACAATGAGAAAAACCCTTAGTTTTACATAACTCCTCGTGTTATGTTCCAAACCGTGGTCTACAGAAAAGGTCCGCGGTTCAAGTCCCTCCGCAGCACTAATGTCCTTTGGCAAGACATTAATCTACATTTGCCGAACCCAACCCAGGTGATGTAAATGGGTACCTGGCATGAATTAAATCCTTGAAATGCTAGAGCGCCGTAATGGCAGCACAGCTAAAGCCGCTGTAATAATTTCCAAATTTGGAAGCGCATAATAGAGACGTTTAAATGTGATATGCACTATACGAGAACGAATGTTATTATTATTATGATTAAAGAGGTTCATGGACATGGGTTTTTTGATTATCTTGAAGATATTCACTTCTCCATAAACACTTACACTTACAATTGCACTTACTGGCGCACACTACACGATCCGACTGCGATCTGATTCTTGTAGTAAGCTTGAAATCCCCTAAAAGTCAGATTTGTATTAATATTATTACGTGAATAAACAGATCCTCAATCATTAAAGAATTTACATGTTGAAATGTTCATACAAAATGCTGTTGTAAATTCTTCCAAAATCGGATCGCAGTCAAATCGTGTAGTGTGCGTTGAGCCTTAGAGTAATATGAATCAATAAGTAGAAACCTTCGAATTCTCTTTTTCAGCAAATGGTGATTGTAATTATAATATTGAAAAATAGAAATAAACTGCCGATACAAGTACTATAAAGATTTGCATCCAACCATCTCATGAAGCCACCATGCCACGCTGATACATGTTAAGTCTACAGTTGCCAATTATCTAACCGATTTTCTTCTAGATTTTAATTCCAATGTATGCCTTTCACGGAAACAAGTAAAACAACATCAACAACAACAACATGGTGATTGTTGATAATGATGACAATAATAATAATAATAATAATAATAATAATGATAATAATAATAACAACGATAGTATTATTAATAATAATGATGATGAGGATGGGGATAATGATGATAATGGTACTGATGATAGTGGATGAGAATATCAAGAAGAAAATTATGATGATAATAGTATATTAGCAACATATTAGTAGCGCGATCGTACTGACTAATGGTTCTAGGACAACTACCCCCTGGACATCCATCCCCGGATAACCACCCCTAGTCAACTACCCCCTAGGACAACTACCCCCTAAGGCAACCACTATCCTAGGGATAGTTGTCCGGGGTAGTTGTCCTGTGTGTAGTCGTCCGAGAGGGTAGTTGCCCTAGGGGTAGTTGTCCTAGGGGGTAGTTGACTGGGGGTGGATGGCCAGGGGATAGGTGTCCGAAAACGATTTCTAAAAATACTACTACTACAACTACTAATAATACTACCACTTCTACATATACTACTACACTACTACTAAGTTCATTATTGATAGCTATCATACGTAAAATACTATCTCTAGATTCCTTCATTATTATTCGTTTGGGATCAAGTCATTCGTCCTTCGATTAATGGTAAGATTTTTGGTCAATTCATCCCAGAAATATTGTTGTCCTCTCACGTTCTCAGTCCAGTGAATATAGGGCCTGCCATCACTGAGATACAACCTCGATAGGAATGGCATTTCATCATCTGGGATGTCTTCGAGGAAGATCACGACTACGAATTCAGTCAGAGTGTCACTCACGTGGTCCATGGCCGTACGGAACTTGAGTATAAACCAGTGGTCGTGCACAGCAGCTCTGCTAAGCACTATGATGGTCTTGTAACTATGGCTCACCACGTAATCGACGGAATCTAAGTAATGCATACCTAACACAAGGTCTTGGTCACCAAAGACATTCCTCTGAAACTGTGGAAGCCGTTCTTCAAGAGCCGGTCGAAGCTGTTCGCGAATCCATTCGTCGTCATCTTCGTCATCGTCGTAGAAAATGATGTTCACGTCAAACTCGTAGTCATTGTGGTCTCGAGCGTCTCGCATCTCTTTATAGCCCAGTACGGCCAGTTTCAAGAGAAATCGCTTGTACCTCAACTGCCATCGGTAGTGATACAACAGCACGATGATTACAACCACGCTAATGGAGACGAGGGGAATCAGAGAGAATAGACCATAGTTCTTTATACAGAGTTCATTTGGATTAAAATCAAGCAGGGGTTTCTCACGAAGAGGCTCCAGAGATTCCAACGAACAAATAGTATTTTCCTTGTCTTTCAGTCGTATAGGTCCATTTAACCAATCAATAAGCCACTTTAGATCACAGTTACAATTAATTGGATTCATTGATAGATCAAGTGATAAAATGGAGGAAAAGATCGGCTCGAAAGCGCTTTTATTAAGGTGCGTTAATTTGTTGTCGGCCAAGGAAAGATTTGTGAGCTTCCAGTTATTTAAGAACATTAGCTCCTCCAAGTACACAATACGGTTTCCTTCAAAGTTGATAATTTGTATTTGACCCAACCTCGACAATACATCATCATGAATATGATGGATGTCATTTCCCTCCAAACTTAACTTCTGAAGAGATTCCAACCCCGAGAAGACAAGAGGATGTAGAATTGAAATATCGCAGTAGTCTAGATTTAGCTCTTGTAAACCAGAGAGTTGCCGGAATACTTGTGGATATATTTCACATATACCACTCAGGATAGGGTTTCTACTCAATTCCAATTGATTAAGATCCAATAATCCATCGAAAAGAGATGCGTTTGCAGTTGCATTCCATAGGGAAGTCCAGTCAAGGAAAGAGTCTATCATGTATAAATTAACAAGGGATTGTAAATGTTTAAACGATTCTCCTGGTCGAAAAGGAAGCCGGACGCGATAAAGAGAGTTTAGGGCAAGTGAACTTAATAATGGGGTGTTCAATTCCAGAACATGTAATCGACACCCTTCCAAATCAATGGTTTGAATATTGTCAAGTCCCGAAAAGGCCGTCAGCTCAAAGACAGAGAGATATTCGTTCGAGCTCATATCTAAGACAGTCAAATTGCCTAAGCCGCGAAATACAGATGCAGATATTTCTGTAAACAGATTACCGCATAAGTAAAACTCCGATAAGTCCACTTTCCAAGTCTGATTGTGAGGATTTATTTGTTTTACTTGGTTGAAGTTGATTATCAGTACCTTTAACGCATTCATGCCGTCGAAAAAGTCTGGTCGAATTTCGTCTATGGGGAGGTTGTTATCACTGAAACTTAATTTTTTGAGTTTTGTCAAATTTGAGAAAACTAAAGGATGGAGGCTGTTCAGGTCGTTGTTCTCGAAGTCCAGAAAAGAGAGAGAAGAATCGCGCAGAGGATCAAAGAAACCTTTAGGAAACGCACCAACAGAACCATCCATGATTGTAAGTTGTTCGATGTCTGATTTTGATAGTCCGAGGATGATGTTCTGCAACACCTCGTAACTCAAAGGGTAGCCACCTAAAATCAAAGATTGAACATGTAGTGATGCGATCACATCAGGGTCTACTGATAGGATAGGGTTGAGTCTAAGATCTAAAAAATCCGTTTGGCACACAAAGGTAAAATCTCTCGCCGTCAGGAGTTGTAGTCGATTATTAACCATGTATACATTGTCGGCTATGTCGCAAGAGCTTACATTGATGAAGGAGAGGTTGTTGAAGGACAGATCTACAGAATCTAGACGTGGACTCCATTTTAGAATGTCATTGGGGAGCGAATTCAATTTTGATGACGCTAAATTAAGAAATAAAAGCTGTGAAGACATCATAAAGACGCCTGTTGCTGGAAGCACAAGATGCGGGTTATCGGATAGAAACAGGTGCATTAAGTCCTTGAGGGGGTAAAAAGTGGCGGATTCTATCGCTCTTACATCGTTGTTAGAAATGTCCAAGGAGTTGATTAGAGGGTATACTTCAAATGAGGAGTTCAAGAGTTTGGTGATATTGTTCCAAGATAAGTCAAGCACCTCGGTATCCTCAGAAAGATTCTCGGGAACCGTGTCCAGGTTGCTGCAAGAAGCTGTTTTCAGTTCAAGGTTCTGATCGCATTCATGGAAAGATTTGTCCATGTCTAGTGTTAAGGATGTCATCAGCGAATCTCCATCGAGTTGATGTAAAGATTGAAAGGACGACTTGACGAGAAGACAAGCGACGAACAATGAGTACAAGATTGAGCCGTTTGCCATGACGTCAATATATCTCCTCTGAAATAGGAAGGGTACACCTTTGTCGGATGATAATTTCGTGGGTAAACTTCCAATAAAGAAAATTGTAGACGTGGTGTATTTTTAGTTCATCATTTTATTTTGTCATCAGACGAAACCAAAGCAAAGCCCTGCAAGAAACAGGAGAATATCAATCAATTAATACTCCAGTCATTTATAATATTGATGAATGTAAGTAAAAAGATTTTGTTGAATAACAATCAATATTGTCATAACATAAAACATAATTTTCATCAGCTAGTAACGCTGACACATTATCCATTAAACATCGGAAATCTGTATTTCCATCCACGGGCCACAATGGAATAATTGAGTCAGAACTTCGAGAACATCATCATTATCACACAATGACAGGCAATACACCTTATTTACATTCGCACCAACCACCCACCATCATTATTCTTTTATAGCATCAAAGACAATTTAGGAATTTGGAATGAGTCAATCAGAATGACAAACTATGGTAGAATTCCTATTAAATAATATATAAATTGAAAGAGTAGAATTAAAATGATTAAACCAAATTCAATTGTTATATGAATCATTTCCAAATGCTGTTCCATGATAGAATAGTCAATGAATTTTACCAGTAACGACACATGATTAAAAGCATATTTAATGTGATTGCTTCCAGAGCAAAATTATAATTACGCAAAGTTACTTTTACTGAACTACATGATTACAATCTATTTGTACCATTGATACAATGAACTATGGATTCAATTATACGCTATTCAGTTACAGCATGTAATCATTCTGTCCTGACACTACAGCAAAACTGCACTTGTTAATTACAATAAAGGATTCCACATGATTTCATATAAGCAAGTTCCAACGAGTAAAAAATAATGTATTATACTCACTGTTTCCCTTGATCCTGATAAATACGAAATGAAATGATTCACACATAAACTTACCCAGTTCAAATAAAAGTAACTGGCAACAAGTGACATGAGAGGTCTCTTCTTAAAACGTGTTTTATAAAGGCGTTCACAATGTCTCTTTCGCAAGATAAGAAGAGAGTGTGTCTCTGGTCATGAAGATTTTCATGTAGAAGTGACGTGAGTCTGTATTTCACCGTCTGGTGACGTGACATTGAGCAGGTACCTGATGCAAGTCAGTTGGACCATGTGGTCCAAAAAACGAAATCAGAGGAAAAAACATATAACTACAGCTAACCAACCGAACAACAGAATACATATCTCTCACTTAGTGAGTCGGTCCTGATGGGCATTGTGATGCAAAGAATATCATGTGATAAAGTGACATGGGCATTCCGCTCAACAAGTGGAAACCTTAGTCTGTTCCCAGATAGAAAAGAAACTACTTTAAATGACGATGGGGGGGGGGGGGGGGGCAGAGGAACTTCAATCCATATCAACTGCCATTGCATCTGAGTACTTTCCCCACAATTTAATCATATAAATCTACTACTCATGCGAATCTAGACATTTCAAAATATTCTGTTGAAAATGTAAACATGACTGTTATTATTATTATTATTATTCTTTTTTGGCGGGGGGGGGGGGGGGGGGTTAAGTGTATGCCAGTCTTTGGTTTCCCAGTCACTATTTGAATATTTTCTGAAATCTAAAATTTAAAGTAATATCCAACAACGCTTCACACAATTTTCTTTTTAAATCTGGGGAGAATTCAGGGTTTGTAAAGTGGAGGTGGGGTGGGGGCAAAATAAAAATAAAATATATAGAAAATGGAACAAAGGAAACAATTTGTATTTATTTGTTTATTGGGTGCAAGCCAAAATGTCTTTAAAATTAAAAAAAAGGGACAATTTGTTTGTGTAAGCTGGCTGCTGAATGAACAATTTAACCTTTCTTGACTTACAAGTTCCACAGTGCCTCCCACATTTTAAGTACCCCAAAAGTACCCCTTTAATTTTGTAAGAAGTGCCCATTTTTACATAGGAAAAGTGCCCTTTCCCTCTTTCCAATCTGATAAGTGCACTTGTTATTTTGACACGGCCCCTTTTCCTTCGGCAACTTCCCACTTTCTTTTGCAATAAGTGTCCATTTTCCATTGTCATAATATAAGTGCCCTTTTTAATCTTTAGTAAGCGCCCCTTTCCAGGAACGAGATTAGTGGCCCCTTTCACCTTTGATAAGCGCTCCCTTCATCTCTGATAATTGCCCTATTCAAATCTGAGAGGTGCCCATTTTACTTTGACAAGTGCCCCTTCCCCTTTTAACACTACCCCTGTTTAATAAGCCAGTTCACGGTTGCAGTCTGAGCATGAGCAGATAAAGATCATTGCAGAACAAATTTTGAAATACACGGAGACGAAATACTCATGGAAGTTATGTAACATTATTCATAAATGCACGAGCAGTGCACTCTATAATACACAGGTGGAAGTATTCTTTGAAAAGGGGAAACAAAGGCTATTCATAATTATAGCACCTCCGTTGCTGTAGGAGTGATTATTTCAAAATGTACACAGTGGGACCTCTTTATGTTTTGAAGATCTGAGGATATTCGGGGTCATTGCAGTAATGTGCTAACCGTGAACTGGTCTATAAGAATAAGCCCTCCTTTTTCCTTATGATAAGTGGCTCCATTACAACAAAAAAGAGCTCCTTCCCCTTTTCATAAATGCCCCTTTTCATCTATATAGTACGAGAAGTTACTCCTTTTCACTTCAGATAAGTGCCCCTTCACCTTCGATAATTGCCCCTACTCAAATCTGAGAGATGCTCGTTTTACTTTGACAACTGCCCCTTCCCCTCCTGATAAGTGCTCTTTTTATCTCTGATGAGGGCCCCTTTTCACCTCTAACAACTGCCCCTTTTCGTTTTTAATAAATGCTCTTTTTCCTTCATATAAGTGCCCATTCCTCTTCTCATAATTACATCTTTTTATCTGGGAAGAGGTGCAAAATAATTTGTGAGCTTTATCATTGACATTGAAGTGTGGAAGAACATCAGATAACAAAATGTTCCCTGAAAAGCATGGCTCTTCAAATGCCTTAATATTATAATATGTAACAACACAAACATCGGGACGGATTTTTATGCCACATGTTCGTGTAGTCCCACATATATCTTTCTGTGCACAGTGCTTGTAACTTTACCAAGACTGGGCCAAATTTCTTATCATTTTGATGATTTCAGAACCTTGCAGTACACATCAATACTTATATGCTAGATGATCAACCTTTTCGGATAGATTCTACACTGTTTCTATCACAATGCAATAGCATGACCAGAAATCAACTTTATCTTTAAGCAATATCTAGTATGATGTACAAAGAGGAACAGATATTAAAATCATCCCTGATAATGTAATCACAATGTAGGGGTATATACCAATGTCTATACCAAAATTGTATATTTTCGCTTTGAGATTTTTCTTTGTAGGTGATCTTTTTTCTCCAGAAAGTGCCCCTTTTCATTGGTGCCCCCCCCCCCCCTGGTAGTCGCTCGGTCGCCCCTGCCTACAGCTAAGTGTTTTATTGTCACGGTTCTGCTTTATTCTATGTACAATTTCAACAAATATTTAGTTTTATATCAACAAAATAATGCGTGAAATATTATCAGTGAGCCTATTTTGAAATACAAGTGATCTTTCCTACAATCCCCTGGCAATATTTTGAACTTCTCTTCCGTAAAACGCGATTCATATTCACTATTAATATTGTCGGTATAGCGCCATCAATCGTCTTCTTCAACAGAGACGAGAAGGGTGTGTGAGGTTTCCGATTACCAACTTTTCGAGCGAGCGAAGCGACATGGCATAAACAATTCAAGATACTTCTGACCAGGGACTGATCCAGGTTTTTGTTTAAAAGAATTGGAGAAAAGGGGGAGGCACAATCTGAAAAATTACACAGCTTTAAAGGGGTAGCCTATTCTTTGTTGCCGGTTCGTGCCTCAAGTTGAACATTTTGAAATTGAAAGTTTAATTTGCCCCCAAAACAACTATTGCTGACATTGTCATTTCGTTATGAACACACCCACAAAATATATCTTGCTCTTCGCCTGTGGCCCGTTGCCGTGCATGGTCAATTGAACGTCCCAATGTCGAATGCACATACTGCTCAATATGAAAGGCTTATAATCATAATTTTTATAAATTATTTGCGCATCTAACACTATTCCGTTGGCACAAACATGCAAAATATGCAAAGCATAATAATCTACGCACCTATCGTTTTTATGCAATTTAGCTGCCTATAGGTTTCGGAATTCTGTTACAAGTCATGAATGAAATATCAAGTTAAATAATTTGCATATGTACGCAATTTGGGAAGAAGAAGCCGGAAGAAGAAGAGGAGGAAGAAGGAGATCATAAAAAGGAGGAGAAGAAAGAGAAAGCAAAGAAGAAGAAGATAAAGAACGAATTAAGAATGGAATTGTCCTGGGCTATTGTTCTCCTTTGTTGTGCAAGTTCTGAACAATAAAGTGATGTTTAAAAAAAAAAATAAGAAGAAAAATAATCAGAAGATTGAAGGAGAAGTTCGAGAGAAGAAGAAGAAGAAAGAAAACAAAGAAAAAAAAAGGAGAATAGGGAGGGGAACAGGGGCGGCCGAGCGACTTCCAAATAAGGGGGGCACCAACAAAAAAGGGCACTTTCTGGAAAAAAAAGGGCACCTACAGTGGGAAATCTCAAAGCGAAAATATACAATTTTTTTTAGACATTGGTATATACCCCTACATTGTGATTACATTATCAGGGATGATTTCAATATTTGTTTCTCTTCATACATCATACAAGATATTGCTTAAGCATCATACTTTACAGTTGAGTGTGATGTCTGAATATGCATTTACGAGCGAGCGAAGCGAGCGAGAAAAATTTTAAAGATCTGTGAGGTCGCAGTGCGAAAAATTACATCTTATAAAGAGGAAAAAAGCCAATCGTAATGGGGTTATAAGCACATTCTCATAACGGAAGACTGAAAAGACCTTTGATAAGTAACATAATTATATCATCTTTAAATGAGAGCAGGCGCAGCGAGCGAACTTTGGGGGAAATTGCTCTTAGTCGCTTTAAATAAGGGGCACGTTTAATGATTACATGAAAAGGGGACAATTATCGAAAGGGATAAGACACTTATTA